TCATTGTAATTGGGGATAAGCTACATTAGTGTCATCCTGCATGAATTTTCGAACGATTCGACATGTATTTAAAATTGCTGCTTTTTGTATATTAATGTATGAGTTTGGTGATATGTCTAGAATTTTCAAGCTATGATGTAAGTGCTTCGGAATTACTCCGGTCGTAGAAAGTACTATGGGTATTATAAAAACTTTTTTCATTTTCCACATTTTTGTTATTTCTTCTTTTAGTTCTGTGTATTTATTTATTTTTTCGGTTATTGTTTTAATTAAATTGTGAGTATTAGGTACGGCTATATCTATTATATATACTATTTTATTTACTTTATCCTGGAGCGTAATATCCGGTCTATTGTAATGGATGGTTTTGTCTGTCAGAATAGCACGGTCGTAGTAAATTTTATAATTTGTATTTTCAAGAACGGATTTTGGTGTGTATTTGTAATATGGTGTATGTGTGTCTGGGATGAGTTTGTGTTTGATTGCTAATTTTTGGTGTATTATATTTACTATCTGGTTATGTCTGTGTGTGTAATCTGTCTGCGTGAGTGTTGGGCATGCTCCTGTAATATGCTGAATGGTTTCGGGCTGTTTGTGACACTTTCGACATTTATCATCTGCTATTGTAGGGTCTTTAATTATATATTTTCGATAATTTTTTGTATTGATGACTTGATCCTGTATTGCTATCATGAAGCCTTCGGTTTCAGGGAATAAGTAACCACATGCAAGCCACTTATTCGATGCTTCCGAATCTACATATGCTTGATCCAGGTCATAAGGATGTCTGCCATGCAAAACTTTCTTTTTCCATTGTTCTGATTTCAAGTATTCTCTGTTTGTGTGCTGGTCAATTATATTATCGGTTATATGTGGCTTTTCTACAAGGTTTAGTGGTGTGAGGTTTACGTCTATATTAACAATAGCATTGTGTAAATTACTGGTACTCATTTTGCTGTGAAAGAAAGATCTAAGGGTTGAAAGCTGCTTAGTCCAGAGAGCTTGAATGTCTATAAGACCTCTCCCACCATGTTTTCTATCTATTGAAATTCTTTCTACTGCAGATTTGGGATGTAAATGATTAAATTTTGTAAGAATAGTACGTGTTTTCATTTCAATGCCAACTATGTCTGTTTTTGTCCATTTTATTATACCAAATGAATATGTCAATATCGGAATCGCATAAGTATTAATAGCTTTAATGAGGCTTTTTGATGTTAGTTGGGTTTTACAGATTTGACTAACTCTATTTTTGTACTCAGTTAATAATACGTTTTTTAAACTAGCGTGGTCTAATAGTTTGGATTGCTGATAACCTAAGTACTTATATACCTCATCTGATTCCATGGATGAAATAATGCCTCCTTCCCGCACAGTGTAAGATCCTGGTTCTATTTTTCCCTTCTTTATATTTAAAATTTTACATTTTTCTAATCCAAACTGCATATTTATGTCATTACTGAATTTACTTGTAGTATCTAATAAGATTCTCATGTCTTTAAATGAACTGGCGTAAAGCTTTATATCATCCATATATATCAGATGTGATATCTTTATCTCGGCATTAGGCAGTTTTACGAGGTAACCTTTCTTTTTGTCATTAAGTAGACGTGATAATGGGTTTAGTGCTAGGCAGAACCACAATGGGCTCAAAGAGTCACCTTGGTAAATACCTTTTCGGATAGCTATGTCCCTCGTATTAAGACTGGTGTTATTGGTACGCAAACGTAAAGAGGTTTTCCAGTGAAACATAATATTTTTCAAAAAATCAATTAAAATGGGGTTTATTTTATAAATTTTTAAAACTTGAATTAACCAAGTATGAGGTACGCTATCAAATGCTTTACGGTAATCAATAAATGTACAATGTAAGTTTCTCTTCTTTAAATTTGCATGTCTATGAATTGTTGAGTCAATTATGAGTTGCTCCTTGCAACCCATGTGGTTTCTCCTACACCCTTTTTGTTCTTCTGCCATAATCATGTTATGTTCTAGGTGTAAATTTATTTTTGTAGCAATGGTATTAGTTAAAATTTTGTATATTGTGGGTAGGCAAGTAATTGGGCGATATTGGGATGGATCATTTGTATTATTACTTTTTGGGATCATATATGTAATTCCTTTTGAAATAAATGGTGGTAGTGGTTGCTTTTGAAATATAACATTAGTAAAAGTTTTAGCGAGAGCCTTATGGAGTGTATGTAGTTTTTTATACCAAAAATTGTGAATATTATCTATTCCCGGTGATTTCCAATTATGCAATTTAGAAGTAGCGATTTTGACATCATTTTCTGTTATTTCGTCAAATATCATCTCCTCTATTGAGTCCCATTCACTTTTCTCTTCTCGTATCCACTCTGCACTTTCATTGTGTGATACTGACTTCTCCCATATATCAGACCAAAAATCTTCAAGCTGTCCTTTTGTTACCATTTGTGTGTCATCCCTATTGTTAGTTACATTTTTATCTTGCTTCAACTGTCTATAGAACAATTTTTCGTTCGCTGTGAAAAGTTTATTTTCTTGTTTTCTTTGATTAGCCTTCGAATATCTTCTAAGTCTTTGTGCTTTAAGTGATAATTTTTGTTTGAGTGTGTCAAGGTATTCATCAGGTGTTTTGTTTGTGTTCTCATGAGTTGTATGTGTCTGATAATTTCGAAAAATTTTTTCTGCTGTTTTACTTACTTTTTTAGATCTATTGCCTTTAATGTATTGAGTAAGTCTACCTATATCTGATCGGAGCTGGTTTATACCTTTTTGTAATCTTATTTGCCATGCTGGTTCTGAGTTACGCTTGTGGTCTGGCTGTTGATTTTCATCCAAAATGTTTAAACCTAATTCTTTCGTTATCACCATAGCGCTGCAATAAACAAGGGTATGGATGTCAGTTAGTAGTGCATTGTCTGTAATAAATCGGTTCAGTATATTATTGTTAAAAATTTCTATTAGAGTTGTAAGCTTTTTACAGTATTTTAGTTTAGGTAATTTCGGTCTACATGTAGGATCCATACCTGAGTATTGAAATATTGTTGTTTTTAATTCTTCATGTAGTTTTGTAATTACTTCATCTCCTATAGTTTCATGTTCCAATGTTATAAGATCTGTCTCTAAAATGATATCGTATGCCATATCTACTTGAGTGGAAGTACTTGAAGTTTGTGTCGAGAAATTGTTGGTGAGTGTTGTCGGCTCTGTAGAGGATGCATGAAAGTTTTGATCGCATGATTGTAAATCATTGTTTGTTTGTAAATCATTTGTTATATGTGCTACTAAGTCTGTTGTGTTAGAACAAGGAAGAGTGTTGTGGCTGTTATTGTGATCGGTATTTATTTCTTCAATTTTACGCCTGACTTCATTTTTTAATTGTTCTAATTCTTCCTCAGAGAGATATTTCTTTTTAATTATCATTCGTCTCTGGTCTGAGATTCTTTGCTCTGTAACATTTACTCCCGGGTATTGCTTAGTAAAGAATTCATGCAGGATTTTCCTATAACAAGTCATATCTGTCTCTAATTTTGTTATACTGTAATATGTACGCATGATAAACATGTTGACATCTTTTGACCATGTCATGCGTACTCTTGCTTTCCCAGCCTTAGTGGACGCAGGTAAAAAGGAATTCACCTCCTGCGTAACATCTAAAGTTGGAGTAGATCTATGTGAATGTGATAAATTCTGACTTGTTAAGGATGATGGTGAAGGTAAGTACGAAACGGTAGATGGGCTATAAGGTTCTTCTAGTAAAAGTGATGGTGATGAATTGTCAGTCTGTCTGTTTTGTGTCGAGTTGGCTGTAGCATTTTCGGGTAACCCGGAGGGAGCCCGCCTATTCAGCTCCTCTCCGCTGACGGATCGTATACTGTAGCACCCAGCGTCAGCTCCAAGTGCGCCCCGGCGATCGCCCCCGGGTAGCGGTCCTAAACGTTTACTTCTTAATCGAGTCTCCATGTTTAATGGGTTACCAGTTCCGTGTTAGCCGTGCCAGTAAAAATATATCACGTGTCCGCCCCCTACGTGAATCAGATGGTCGATTCGGACGTACGGTTGGATTTTAGGGGGCTTATTATTATTATTATTATTATTATTATTATGTACATAGGTATAAAAAAGTACGCAAATACTTTAAAAAACTTGAAATCGTCCCCTATTTCACCTTGATTGGTCATAAACGCCGAAATATTATTTATTTCTTAGCAAAATTATAATCGTGATGAGTTTTACATCCCTTACTTGAGAATGGTTAATACAAACCTCCACTGTACTGTACCTTAGTGTAATTTTATGTATAGAAATAGAAATATTAAAAAAAAATATTATAATTAAACCAACCAATTGACCAACCAAAAAAATCTCATTCGACAAAAACGTCCTTTAGAACAAGGCGAATTAAAAAAAATCGTAAAAAATAAACGTTTTTTGACTTGTAATTTATATTTTTCATTTAAATCAATGGTAACTCTTCATTCTAATATAATTTATATATATATATACAATAAAAAAATAGTGTTTTCATTTTTGTGTATGTTATTTTTTTATGAGAAGACGTAATAATTACATTTAAATGTATTTTGAAGCAATAGTTATTTTGAAAAAATGATTATTTTATTATATTATGTAACAAATAGCGACTCACCCTCGCTCCGATCGGGTTAGTTCCTAGTTACGTTTTAACGTTTAGTATAGATTTCCTAGAAATTAGATATTTTCCATCAGTAAAACATATCCTAAATGTTGAGCCGGATAATCAGCTATCATCATACCAAATTTTATCAAAATCTGTCCAGTGGTTTTCTCGTGACGCGATCACAGACAGACGAACAAAAAATCTAAAAACTATAAATTCAGCCTCTGTATCGATAATAATGACTATTTCAATATAATTTTACAAAAAATATTTTATGTACAGATTCGATTCAGAATTTTATTATACTCATATGTATAAAATTATTTCATAAACTACAAATCGTCGTACAGCTTCTTAGTAGACATTTTTATCCCAGCCACGTGCAGTTACAAGAGAATCCGGTCAAGCGTTCGCACAAAAGCACAGAATGCTCTTCATAGAGAGCAGTGCGAAAACTCAAGAAGGCATCAATTTGGCTTTCGAAGAACTTGTACAAAAGGTGGGTGCTTTAATACTTTAACTGTCACTTCGAAGAATTTCCATTCGCATTTCAGTAGGTTTTCGTGGTTTATTTTTAGATTTTTCCTGCTACATATTTATATAACATTGTTACTTTTGTAATTTGAAATAGTAATGGAATTTGTTCTACACGTACTTTTTGTCTTAACATCTGTCTGCCCCAGTCTATAGAACAAATGCTATTATACGGAGTTTTATATATATATATATATACTAGCGGACCCGACAGACGTTGTCCTGACTACACGTCTTTAATTTGAAAATTTCAAACTTTTTTTAATAATTTTTTTGATGAAAATTATTATTCAAATTGTGAATCTAAACCATTCCCAGATCCCCTTGAACACACAATTTCATCAAAATCGGTCCAGTCGTTTGAGAGAAGTTCAGTGACATACACATTCACAGAAGAATTATATATATATAAAGATATATATATATATATATATATATATATAAAGTCGGGTTAGTTATACACCATTTATAACTTAAGAACGACTGGACCGATTTTTATAATCTTTGATATGTTGGATTTGTCTTGGCCCTAAAAAAATGAAAAAAAATTACAATGCTGGATTATAACAACTTCTAAGTCGCTAGTAATGGAAAAGGTAGGATGTAAAAGTGCGTGTTTTTTGAACTATTACAAAAAAAGTAAACTTGATACATTGTTGTATAAAGTAAATAAAATTATTATAACTAGCCAGATGTTGGTTGTAATCGTATTCAGCAAACATGGCTTCGAACTGCTATTATTGTTTATATTGTGAGACTAGACTTTAGACTTCTTTCAACGCCTCATATTAATATATTATAGTTTTTTTTCATTTGATATGAATAAATCTGTAATATTAGTATTTGAACCTCTGATATGTTTAATTTCAAATGTGCACATTTTAATTTTGTTTTTTATGATTTATATTTATATTAATTATTACGTCTATATTGGTTGATCTACGGATAAATTATAAATGAACTGCATTCAATACACGATAAATTATGTTCAAGCGTACTCAATATTTGGTATTCAAAAATAATATTTATATCCTCTTTTTTAATTATTGGTCTTTTTTTTTAATTATTGACGCTTTTTATACCCAGTCTAATTTTTGATTATGTGATAGGTCTGACTTGGTTAACGTAGGTCGAGAAGACTAAGGGGGGAGCGAAGCGTAGCTCCCGTCTTAGCCTTCTCCTTATTTTTTTTATATCGAACCCCGATGCTCATTTCTCTTAGTTTCTGGACCCAATAAGTAAACATTTTTTGCGTAGCTCTAAATAGATTAAAATATCGATTGATTTGATTTACTTAATGTCTCGGAGAAAGAGGATCGATTATTAAAAAAGATGACCGTTTGGATATTTTTACTTGCTGTTTTTTCAAAATTAAAATTATCATTTAAATACATGCTATGGCAATACTAATGTTTTAAGGGGTTTTTTTTATTTTTTTTAAGATAATTGAAACTCCGGGTCTTTGGGAATCAACCGGTTCGTCGTCTAACATTCGCATATCTAATGAGGAAAGGACAGATCAAGATGAATCTTCGTGTTCTTGTACCATATAATACCTACTACGATGTACTTTATAGGTTGGCTATCTGTAATTAGAACAATATTTATAGAAAATAATAAATAATTATGTATTTTATTGTAATTTTTGTGGTTTAAATAAATTTATTATCTGTAATATTCTTTTTTTTTCGATTTTATTCGAATTGTAATAATCGATATTGAAAATTAATTGAACTTTAAATAATTTTTACTAATCGAATTTTTTTTCATCGCGTTACTAAGTTTTAAAGGAAATTGTAAGTTATTTTACCTAATATTTTGATATTTTTTTTCGGATCATATCAGATGAATGCCAACCTTCTTGTGCAATGTGATATTTTAAAAAGTCTGCTTTTGTATATATAACAAATACAAAATAAAGATGTAATATGGACTGCATAATTATGGAAAAACCTTAAAAAAGAAAATATATATATATGCCAACACTTAATTCGTAGATGTTAAGTGTTTATTAATTATTATTATGTTCTGTAAAACTACATTTTGTTTGGGGGTTTCCCTTCTAACATTTCATAAAAAAATTAAATATCTACCATTTTTTTCATTTTCTTTTTAATTTTCATTTTCGTTATGGCAATGTCCATTATTAGGGTGCTGATTTTGACGTAAGCTTAATTATTAGGTATTTGATTTACTACTGAGCAAGGAATTTTGACGGTTTAATAGTAAACGACGCAATAACTTCGTTTAAACGTGTAAGAGTTTTATTATAATGTATTTAACCATAAGAATTAAATATTTACCCATGGTCACACTAGATTATGTTAATCTCAAGGCCTCTCCTTACAAAAAATCATGTCGATAAGTCGCTACGTTTTGGTGTGAAAAAAGGACACACATTCACATTTATAATATTAGTATGAACTAACAAAATTAAAAAAAATAAATTGTTATTTTATTATGAAATGACGACAAGTTTGGCTCAGTTTGTAATATCCCTGCTTGCTGTGCTAGTGGTCGCGGGTTCGAGTCCGCTAAGAGAATTCATTTGTGTGATGAGCACGAATGTTTGTACTGCAGTCATGGGTGTTTATATTTATAATACATATTCAAAATTATATATGTGTAGTATACCAACTATCTGGTATCCATAACACAAGCCTCGTAGCTTACCATGGAGCTAGATGGTGCTGTGTTAATGTCCCAACATGTTTGTTTGTTTGTTTGTTTGTTTGTTTGTTCGTTTGTTTGTCTATTTTGTTATTTATACTTGTCACATACATATATAGCTAGAAAAGCTTATGCTCCAATCTTATAAGTATATTTCTCAAACTTAGTGTGCTAAAAATGCTATCTACTTAGTATCTATCTATCTAGGTTAATTTGATACTCACTGTACCTAAATCCATACTAATATTATAAATGTGAAAGTTTCTGAGAATTAAATGGATGTTTATTATTCTTTCACGCCAGAACGGCTGAACGGATCTGGATGAATTTAACACAGACATAGATTATAGTCTGGAATAGCACATAGGTTACTTTTTATCCCGGAAAATGTACGCTTCCCGTGGGATTTGTTTTTGTCTAGGGATGAATCCGAAGCGAAGCGAAGGTGAGTCGCTAGTGAATCATATGTACTTGTCTCCATTTCACCTCCACTTTTAAGGCATACTGCATACATATTATCTACTGTGTATATGATTATGTTAGGTTTAAATCCAATAAGGTTTTATCTGCCTTATAAGACAACGCACTTAATATTGTATGTTTTTAAAGCACTTATCTCGAAATTGTTTAAAATGTATGAAAATATAACCAGCTCATTTTGCGAGTAGTAATTTTTCAAATGCGTCTCTGTCTTGAGTACGACACGAGAGCGGAGACAATAAATTCTTTGCATTTAAAAACTTTTAAAACTATTTTAAACCGTACACAGTTCACAATAAGGCGCAAATTAACTTAAAATCAATTATAAAATAAATTTATATAATTTTAACAATGTTACCGCGCAGTCCATGTTATATCTGAATGGCTGCCACTCACACAATTATTACTTAGCAGCTTTTTTTTCTATGTAGAAAATTATACGAATATATTTTTAGATTATGTAAGTAATACGTCACTTAGTAGACACTCAGACTAAAGAACTATATAGAAGTCCGCCAAAATAAATGTCAATACCAAAAATAGTAGCGTGCTTTGCTGTTTATGCTACGATTCTCAATGTTGCCATACAGATCGTTTACTTTCTAAAATAATAAAGGAAATTTAAATGTATTATTCAAATCAATATGATACAATTTTTTGAGAATAAAATATGAATAGTAAAACTAGATTTTTTTAAATATCTTTAATGAGCTCATATTTTTTTCTTTATTATTATTAAATTCGTTACCAAAATACTTTCTTCGAGTCACGCGAATGTTCGACATTTTAAATAAAATTAAGTAAAACTATCTTTTCGGATTTTGTAATGTAAAGATAGTGTTATTTAAAAAAAAATGTTTATTAACATTTATTTACTTATCACTCAGGTAATTTTTATCCAATTTTAAACCATTATTGCTTGGCTTCCTATATTATTCCTTAGTCTGAGCGTACACTGTAGATTTTTTGTCGATATCTTTCCCTTGAAAGGCAGTAATGGCACTTTGTTTTCCAGTTGTTTGCGACTGAATTTTCAGAATAAGTAGGTATAATATTTGATACTAAAGTAATAATCGACTAAAAGCCTTCAGTGTTTTATGTCAGTAAATACTCTTTTCATTGTTTCGCTAGTGTGCTATTGTTGTGGATTTATTATATTTGTATGTAAATTTTAAAATAAATATATTATGTGGGTTTTAAAATAGGACCAATATGTTCAAAAATAAATATGTATATATTAATTAGTTATGTGTTTCATTGTTTCACCGAAAATTTTACATTAAAATTCGTTTTTATACATATTAATAAAAAAAATACTTTTTGTGTTGTGGGAATCGAATCCGTGAAACTTATTCCAGAAAATTTTAATTAACGTCATATTTCCTTATTTTTATTCGTTTTAAAAATATAAATCAAAAAACTAACTAAAATAACCCCCTATTATTATAAAACTTCATCTAAAAACTATTAGCATCTCCATTTTCTCTAATTTGTCTTAACTTACTCGGGTTAATACAACTGACCGGTAATTTATCACTAGAACAACAAATGCCTCTCAAGGAGGCCTGCCCTCAATGGCCCTCCGGAGTCCCACTAATGAGCCCCCATCATTCACCAGCTTGGGATAAGCGTTGACAAATAAAAGCAGAGTCGTGATTTACAGACGCTTACTTTATCTGTTGTCATTTATAATCTGTATAACATGTTAAGTTGGATGTTTTGGCGGGAAAATAAAGCTGTCAAGTTGACGGTGGCAGATAAACGGAATTATTGCTGTGGTGTTTACTTATGTGGATTTTTATGTGGGTAAGTAGTTAGGTTTTTATAGTTATTGTTAGTGTTTGTAAAAAGTTGATTATGTCAAGCGAAATAATATTTTTCTATATATGTACCTACCATACACAAAAACACAAAAAATTGAAGTGTATGTTTGTGTGTCAAAATTATAATAATAAATAAAGCTTTTTAGTAAATACACATGAAAGTAAGTATATAGTTATACAAATATATAAAAACAATTTTGATTTTTGTCTGTCTGTTTGTTTGTTCCGACTAATATCCGAAACGGTTAGACCGATTTTTCGGGCCTTTACTGGCATATAGCTGATGTTATAGGGAGTTTATATCGACTACTTTTATTAAGACAAAAAAATTAGGGTTTCGCGCAAAAAAATAAAACCCATGAATTTTCAACAAAATCTGCCCACGTTCCCGCTACCTGTAGTTACTTAGGTATATTATATATTATATTGGTATATTAGCTATATAGAACATAATAAACTTATAACATCTCTTAGTAAATAGTCTATAAGACGCAAAAATAATTTTTCATTTCATACTTAGATATAATTCAAGACAAAAAATATTGCTTTAGAATATATCAGGAAAACAAATAATTTGGTGGTACAGAATCAGTGATGCACGAACCGACTCGCGCTTAACCAATTTTAATTCACAAATTTCCATTCTCATTAAAGTACATAAGTTCACAAACCGAAATCACAATGTGATCATTCAAAATACTTGCGTGCTTAAATTAATTTAAAACTAAATTTCGCACATCACAGATCCGCGGTGAATTTAAATCAACGCTCGAGTCTCGAGTTATCTCACTTTGCCCGAAGCTGTCGAAATTAATAGAGGTGGATACTGAAATTTCAGTCAACATCCGACAAGTGCTTATCTTATCAAAATAGCTCTAGCACTCGTGGAATTATATGTGAATGTAATGCCAAAATTATTGCTACTGAAATGTCGTGTTTGTATGAAGTGAATACACTTGTAATTTATACAATATAAACCTATAATAAATTTTTTACTGAGTCGAATCTGTACGTTAAATATTTTTTGGAAAATCTTATTGAAATAGACATTATTATCGATACAGAGGCTGAATCTATGGTTTTTACAATGTTTGTCTGTTTGGGAATGCATTACGGAAAAACCACTGGAGGGATTTTTATGAAATTCGGTATGATAATAGCTGGTTATCTGGGTCAGCATATAGGATACTTTTTACTAGGGGAGAATATCTCATCTCAGAGATATCTATACCACTGAACGTTAAAACGTAATTGGGGTCGAACCTGACCGGAGCGAGGGTGAGTTGCTAGTTTAAATTATAAAATGCTGTAAACACTATCTGACTGACAGTACACAGCCTCAACAGATAGATCTATTGAATGAAAATTACATAGAATATTTCTGAAGTATATTGTGTCTGGAGTGTGACATCTTTGAAACTCTTTCAAACTTTGAATGCGGTGGCAAAGTGGATGAATTAATGGAAAATAATATTTCCCTACCTAAATTTGCTTTAAACTCTGTATTAATACTTGAAAATTTGTTACAACGTATTATTTGGATCTCTAATAATTATTTAAATTAAAAAATGTCTGTC